CTTTATTATGGTATAGTATTTAAATATATGCCTGAGAAACACATAATATTGCCCCTTTAAAGTGCATTTATCTTTAATAGTATGCATTAAAATGATAAATAATAATATTAATAAATGTCTAAAATCTCTAACCCTTCTTCTTAACTGGCCAATGGACACAGAATGTTAGATCATCTGTTCCCGCTTCTTTTTTGTGAACAGTTTCGAAGGTTACCCAGAATATAAATATGTTTTTTTAACCATTATTTTAATTGTTTTAACTTCTAAGCTCTGTTTGAAACAAACTAATCTCACGCTCAGTGGGAAAGCTTCAGCAGTTCGTCGTTTTTTTTACCAAACATGAAAAGTTCATCAATGTTCTGCTGTAAAAGACAGTTTCTCAGCGGCGGAAACGCTTCATAAACTCTAATGTCAGCTCCCAGCGCTTCTGATGTGGTGCTAATGGATTAGCCTGCCAATGGCCTTTCAAAAGCTTCTTGCGTAATCTTCTGGCATTAAAGTTATATAATTATTGAACTCGGGTTGTTGCTGTATGGATCCGGGGGGAAGGAAAATCAAAGATGATGGCACCATTGATGTTTCTGAACCGTTTTTCACTTACATGTCCAATAATATGACTGGGAGGTTGATCGGGTCACACACAAACTCACTCTTTTTTTTTCTTCCTTTTTTCCCCCATTCAGAGTTAAGGAACGGGGTTCCAGTTCTGAGTATAAACCATGGATCAGGAACCCTGACCCTTCAGCTCACACCTAAAACCTCCATCAACGACCGGCGCTGGCATCGACTTGACATAATCAGTGATGGAAAGGTAGAACGGAGTGACAAACCTGGGATTTATGGTTTAATAAAACAGCAGAAAATAATTAGATGAACAGCAGGGATGAAGTTATTCAAATTGCTTTGACTGCCACTAGTTTTAGCAACACCAGAACTGCTTTTTTCTTATTCAACTAAAAAGTTATTAACTTTCACTTGTTTTCTTTAAAGCTATTAAAAAGCCCACAAACCCAATAAGGGTTTTGCTGTATGCTTTGGCCTCGATGTGGATAAGAATACTAAGAAATAATGTTAACTTTTTTATAATATACATTAAAAATGTATATATTTATATTGTTTGATTATGAACAAGTATTGCCGTTTGTGTTCAGGTTGTCCAGCTGGTTCTGGACCAGTGTGGAGGGGTGGCTGTGAACGAGCTGGAAGGTGTTGGAGGGGAGGTCAGAGAAGTGGATGAATCTGGCTGCAGAGCTGCAGGAGAGACGCCTGGGAACCAGAGGTTAGTCCCTTCGTACGTCAAATGAAAGTTCAATCCTGAACCTGTTGTGTGGGCGTTCCTTCAGTGTTCACATGGTTGTCCATTATTTTTCTGTATGTTTTTGCCGTTCAGATATCAAAATGTTCAGCTCATTTTATTTTTGTAACTTTCATATTTTTCAAAATATCTGACTTTATCTCTAAATCCTCTTTTTCCTTCATAGAAATACAATCATTTCCTCAAAAACATTATTCTGTTTGAAGTTTGCTTTAACGTACCTGTTGTTTTGATCATCTTCTGCTATTTTTAGCTAACGTTTAGCCTATTTTAAGCTTTTAGCTACTCTTCTGCTACATTTAGCTGTTAGCATTTAGCTACTCTTTTGTTATTTTTAGCTTTAGTTAGTGTTTTGCTAACTCTAGCTTTTAGCTAGCATGTTCAGGTTTTTGTATTTTAACTAGTATTTTGCTCATTTTAGCTCATTCACAASAAGAACTGTGTTGACTTCTTTAACAAACCTAACAGTCGTTCAGCTCTTAGCGTCATGCTGCAGTTTCAGTAGTCTGACGTGATTTTTTCTCTTTTTTTCTCCCTTCGATTCATCTTTTTATGTCTTTCTTTAATAATCCACCTTTTTTTCTTCCTACGTACTTTTTCTTCCTCCTGTGTACATCCTCCTCTYCCCTCTCAGGTATTTAAATGTATTCCAGCCTCTTCAGCTGGGAGGAGTGAAGGAGCTGACTCCTTACAGACGGTACCGAAGTTTCACTGGATGCATTCGGAACCTTGTAGTTGACAGTCAGGTAACTGTTCTCTCTGTGTCTGATTAGGTGTGCTTCAGAATTTATAATGCGTGGACATAAAGGTGCTTATGTTGAACACATCGTATCTCGTTTAGTTGAAGGGTTTAATAACCTCAATGTAAAACTGAATGAATGAATGAAACACATCTCAGAAATCATTAGTATTTCTCRTGTGTGTTTCCTGCCTTAAAATGCAGTTTCAGTGTCTATAGGCCTGCATGTATCAGTTTGTACTTGCATGAATTCACTCCTCTCTGTCTCCTCGGTGGGTGGTTTTTGCTGGTGTGGATCATTATTAGTGTGTGTGCACCCGTGGAGCAAGGGGGTGATGGTCGGACAGATGGTGGTCTGAGCTCGGCTCATCAGCCAAGGCCAATATAACAACATTACAGTCCAAGATGTAAAATTAATGGAAAGAAGCTCACACTTCCTCCTCGTTCGGCAGAAAYGTAGCAAGATGCTGTGGTTCCTCTGCTGCTCAGTGCAAACCTCAACAACCTCCCAGAGATCTCAAAACATTCCCCAGGAAAGACTCCAGATAGCATTAAGATGGAAAAATGTGAAGGTTTATTATGTTAGCATTGGCACAGYACTGCAAGCAATGTACTATTTTACCCACAATCCCTTGTGCTTTAAGTTTTCCTTTCTCCTGAAGTTATTTTTTTTAAATATGAATATATTTTTCTTAGTTTTTGCAATAATGTCATGGAACCTCAAATCAGCAGTGAAACCGTAATATTGATGATACAACTACTTTATGTTTCTTCTTGCAAATCAAATATGTTAAAAAGGAAATTAAAGAGGGTTTTACATAAACTGACTGATACTAAAAGTAATAATTTAGATAAACATTTACCAAAGTACTTTGAAACATAATCAGCTTAAAACCTTTAAAACATTAATTACAAAATTACCATGTTTAGTTTTGCTATAAAATTTAGGATCATCTGAGTGTGATGCTTAATATATATATATACATATAAAAAATAGGCTTTAGATCTATAATATGTAAAATAATAAATGCCCAGTATTAAAAATAAATGAAATAGCTGAATTATAATAAAACCTGAACAGAAAGCTTACAGGCAGAGGAAGACTAAGCTAAATATGATTAATTATATGATATGTTCCCTTCAGATACAGTATTACCTCACCTTGTCTAATTCACGGAGAGTCAAAGGGTGCCCAGAATCCAYCCAGTGAGCAAAATTAGATGTCTTTAATTAAAGGTCACAGATGATAAATGAATGAGTATTCTCATAAACGTGATTCAAAGCAGCCATTTTTTCTGATTAAAATTTAATTGGACACGTCAGTTAATAAAACCGATCCAAGGTCCTTTTTTACTTTCAGAGTGAGGACTCACGCGGTTGTATGCAGACACTAAAACCCCCTATAAATTAACTAATGGGTATCGTCTGCGGGCGTTAAAAGGCTGGTGATCATGTAACTGCTTCTGTGTGTGGCTTTGTTTGTCTGCTCGTAAAATACTTCATTAACTGCAAGAAGAATTTTACTTTTACAGAAAATGAYTTTGGTAAAAATAAATTTCATTGATGAGAAGARTACTTAAGTAAAAGTCATAAAACTGTTCACAAAAATTGGGAAAGTAAAAGTAATTTTGCATTTTCTTTAAGAAATAAGCTGTCGAATTTACTGAACCAAACTGGTTCCACTAAATAAAGTTGAGTAAATTGAGCAACAAACATATCTTTTTAAAGAAAATATGTTTGTTGCYTCATATTTACTCATTTTCACAGAGGGCCACATGAGCGTTATGGTGGCCCTCGAAGGGCCAGTTGTGGTTAACKTTGATGTTTCATATGACCAGAACTAWGTGTATGTCTGACTAAATCTGAAATAAATAATACAAAYRTATTATTAAAAGTAAAACTAATAGAGTTTTACTCACAAATGAGTTTYTAGTTAGTAGCTGCCATCTTGAATTCTGAACTCTCCCACTTTCTGACAGATAATTCCCRTGGATGATCAACRTGCATTATGGGAGATGTAGTTTATGTTTGATGCTGATGCTTATTTTGAAACATTAATATTGTGCTTTAGAACTTAATTGCTCAGTTACTTCTTGGGGAAGGGCCTTTGGAGTGTGTGTGTTTGTGTCGTCCCCCCTGGCGGGCCAGCCAAGAGTCACCCAYGGGCCAGATGAGTTTGCCACATGGTTTAGTGGAACCAGTTGAAATGACTTGGTTGAGTAAATTCAACACTTCATTTTTTAGAGCATAAACAACTCCTTTCATGATGAGTTCAGACATAATTTGCAACGCGTAACTGGGTATTAAATTTTAAAGTAAAGAAGTAAAAGTTTCGTTTTTAGGTTTTAAATGTAATGAAAAAGTAAAAGTAAGGTTTTTTTAAATACTTGAGGAAATACAAATCCTCAAAGAAATTACTTAAGTACTGTAGTGAAATAATATTTACTTATTTACTATAAACCTTTGTTTTTTCAAGCCAAATTAAGATAATCAACTTTAGCAAAATATGTACAGATACTGAGCTAAGATTTGGTGTGGTAGTAACTGAGAGTCATCCTAAATTCAGACCATGTTTAAAGTTTTGGCAGGAAATGAGACATTTGTATGTAAATTGAAAGAATGCTACCTTTTAAAAACGGACACTTTGAGGAAAATGATCTGGAACCAATTGTAGTTTTCTAATCACTTTTATTTTGAGCTGATTCATAATTTATTTATTTTCTGGTGCAAAAATCTTCAATKTAAGAAAAATCCCAGTTCTACTAAAGAAAATCCAATTATTGTTTCACAGATGTTTGTTTCACGGGGCTAAAATCAGGTTAAAAACAAAGAGGAAGTGAGATGGAAATAGCCCTCTGCCTTACAAGAGCATCTTTGCTGCATAATCAAAGCTCTTTTTTCCCCAAATACGCTCAGAAGAATTTAACACACAATCCGTGTGTTAAAATGACTGACACGCCGCAGAATGCATCTGCAGCACGCCTGCCAACTGAAACAATGGGCTTTGTGTTGAAATTTAGCGCATGTCGAATCGAGCCTTATTGCATTTCGGACTCAAGGGATGAAAACAGCAGAATTAAAAGAAACAAAAAAAACTCCAATCTCATGCTGGCAGTGAACACAGTCTGGAACACTGGAAGCAGCGATGGGTTCTTGTTTATGAATGTTTACAGATACAGCGGGTAAAATAAGTATTGAACACGTCACCATTTTTCTCAGTAAATATATTACTAGAGGTGCTAATG